AAGATCCTTTATTTGGGGGTCCCTTATTTCAGGTTTTGGACATATCGTGAAAACAAATAAAATAAAACAAATGCAGCCATGAATTGTCGCCTCAAAGGCTGGTGGGCCATGCAAATGATGTAAGGGTCCATCCAAAAAGCAAAGACAAATTATTTGCGGAATCTCTTCATGCCAGGTGTCCCTCCAAAAACAAACACACACTTATTTGCAGAATCCCTTCATTTCATGACGTGCTCTTCAGGTCAGCCCAAAGCGCTTCACCGGTGCTCTGCGGGGGGTGCACGACCAGCTGGTGGTGCAGGCGCCCACACCGCTGCAGTACGGCGCCTGCGCCATGCTGAGCCTCGGCCGGATGCGAAGTTCTTCCGTGGGATGGTGATTTCAATTGAGAATTTGAAGATCACACACGAATTTGTTTGAGTGTTTGGTAGTTTGGTTGGCTGTTTGCTCGCTTGTTTCGTTGTTTGATTGTTTGTTTGGCTGGTTGGTTGTTTGTTTGTTTGTTTCTTTGCTTGATTGTTTGCTTGGTTGATTTCTCGCTTGTTTCTGTGTTTGTTTGATTGTTTGGTTGGTTGGTTGCTCGCTTGTTTCTTTCTTTGTTTGTTTGTTTGTTTGCTTGCACAACTTACGGCACCTAGTTACTGTAGGCTGGCACTGGGCTCGATGTTTGTTTCAGGGGCTCTGTGTCAAGCCATGATTGCTCCAAGTCCAAGCCGCGTTTTGGCCTGATTGAGGTCGCGACCTGTCGCGCCCAGAATTCCACCTCTGGGGGGTATTTCAGGAGTTGCCGCCAGCCCTTCTCAATGAGGTTTCAGATGCCGTGTTGAGGCGCAGCGCCACGACCGAACTTATGTCACATCAGCCTTTGAAATGAATAATGCGATCATGAAACCGAGGAACATAGTGATTCACGCAGATAGTTGAAAGCTACAAGTTTGTTCCAGGGGCTCTATGTCACGACAAGATGCTCTATGTCACAGGACCATGAACGACGACTTTTTCGCGAGCCATGCGCACGAATACCTCGAAAAGCGCGACATCCTTCTGGTCGCCTTGCGCAGGGCGGGATTCCGTGTTTCTGCCGTGCCAAAGGGCGCGTACTACCTCTTCGCAGATTATTTGGCCGTTCCAAGGCTGAAAGGACTGGCGAAAAGCAACAACCTGGGCTGTGACCATTCAAATGGGCTTTTTTCTAGATAGGGCAACCCTTAAACTGGGCGATTCATTTTTGATTTCCATTTGAGTCAACCCTGAGATGGGTAAAGTAAAAGTACCCGGGATGTTTTTGTTGGCTCTGTTCTCGGCAAGAGCCCCAAGTGGTCGGCGGAAGCGGTGTTTAGGATCTGGAATGGCTTGGAGTAAGTCTCTAGACTCTGGACCATGTGATGACATGAATGGGAATTTGCTAGGTCATGTCTGGAGAGTCAAACACTCGCGTACCCAACAGGTAAGCCGTAGACGTGTACGCGTTGTTTCTGTTTAGCGGCGGCTTGTTTGAATTATGCTCAGTTTTTGCCAAGCGTTGTTTCCAAGCCTTTCACTTCACGAAGCAATCCCATACTCCGTGTGGATGCAGGTGCAGATTTGGAATAAGCTTTGCAGCTTCACTTGATTTTTCCTAGGATCCAAAATCCAAGACTTCCAAGGAAGCCACCCTGAGAGCCCTAAGGAACGGGTCTGAGTTGGTTCCCAAGCCTGCAGGACTCTCGCCGATTTTCGTAGCCTGCAGGACTCTCGCCGACAGAGGCGGCCATGACAATGACCAAGGAGGCGAGATCCCATTCGCAGAATCTTCTGGAATAATCCGCCCCTGATTGATGTTCATTGAATTGGGGGGGGGTCATCACTTTTTTTTTGGGGGGGGAATCACTTTTGTGGCTATCCCCCCTTATTGATGGGATGGGCCGAGATTTTTAGTCTGAGGTCTGCCAAGGAAACCCGTTTGGGTGACAAATTGCGACCGTTTCTCCTTGGGTTGTACCAATCCATCGACCTTCCTTTCCGTTCCGAGGTGGGTGTTGCCTGCGTTCCGGGGGACAACTTCTACCTGGGCGCCAGCAAAAGTGATATCGCCCTGGGCGGGCGATACCTGCGCTTTGCCTTCGTGCGATCCATGGACTTGCTGAAAGAGGCGGCGGAGCTACTACAGCGGCTGTGATATGCGATGGATAAAAGGTGCCAGCAGGGGTCTCGCCAGACAGGCCGCAAGGCCCTGTTTTGCTTGCCTATGGGGCATGTTTCCATTGCGGAACTAATAACCAAAGCACTGAAGTGCAGTTTGTAGGCATCTAACTTGTCACGCAAGCCATCAAATGTGTCCTTTTAGGCAAGCCCGTGCGACATGGATTTCGTCTATCCACAATAGGGGGATGAAAACCAAAAGGCCGGCAGCTGTCCATGCTCCTTGGAAAACGGTACTTGAACCCTCAAATGTCCCTGAAAAATGGGTTATTGCCACAACCCTTTTGTCATGGGTAGTTTGAGGGTCCAGGTACTCCTCGAAGAATGGCAAAAACTTGAAACCCATTCTCACTCTTTCTCTTCAGAAAACGCCAATGCCCTGCTACTGCTAGCACTGAGTCCCTCATTTCCGAAGGCCGCATGTTGAAACTTCTTAAACACGAATTGTTCGCCTGTCAAAGTCGAGTTGGCCCCCATGTCCCCCGTATTTTTGTTGAACATGGACAACTCAAAAAGGAAGCCGCCAGGGAGCAAACCAAAAGGAAGGAACCCAAGACCAGGGGAACCGTTCAAAGCACGAAAGGACCCCAAGGGCAGCCAAGGGATCCCGCCCCATCTTCCCGGCCACTAGAAAGCAACCCAAGGGACCTAATTTCCCCAAAGGACCCTTCTGCCCGCACCCAGCACCCGAACATGTGCCCCTAAAAAGGTTTGCTTGTTACCACAAACAACGTGGGTAAAGGCTGCATGTAGAAGTCCATATGGCCATGGGTCAGAACCTATGCCTCCATTGTGGGGCGGGTGAACACCCATGTACCACCTATTTTGATGTTCACCAGGGGTTCAGGGTTTTGACCCACAGACATATGAACCCCTTGTATGAATCCCTAGCTTATTAATGATTGGCTACTTGATTGAGGCTCAATTGTGGGAAACCGGCCATGAAAGCGGCAACATATAGCCAGAGGTTCATAAAAGAACATCTCACCACCTCAGGTTCTGGACTTATTTGAGGGGAGGATCATTTTAGTGGTCAGCTCAGCAAAAGTTGGGCAGTATTTTCTGCGAATCCAAGACCTCCTTCATAGTCTTAAATGTATCATCACGCTAGCTCCCCCTAAGGGCCATCTACATCTACAATACAATATGTGCACGCCATGTCTACCTTTTTATTTTTACAGTTTCGTGTTGAAAGGGGTTGATTCCCATTCTTTTCAACCATCTGTTTTATTTTCCAAAACCAGCTGTTTCCCCAGGGTGTTTGGTGGTTTCCTGAAAAGATTCGGATCCCTGGAAAGAATGGAATTGGAAAATACCTCTAGATTGTTGGAGTCTCGATGACCCTTTCAACATACCGTGGGTGGACCAAATCCATACCGCTGCCCTTTGCGGAAAAACAAAACAAAAAACAAAACCTGGAAAGAATGGAATTGGAAGGTAGCCCTAGAATACCGCTGCCACATGGCCATGGGTCAAAATCCTGTACCCCCAGTGAACATCCCAACCCCCACTAAAATAGGTTCTAAAATGGGTGGTGCACCTACCCAAAAATGGGATCCCATTGGTTTTGACCCACAGCCATGTGTGCCTGTGGTCAGAATTCCCGTGGGAAGGAACACTTATAATGGTTAGCATGAGACACTCTGATGGGAAAGTGATCTTTAGCGTAAAACAGAAAACAAAGACAAAAGCGCCCGGCGCCAGGTCCTTGGCTCACCTCGACATCTTCTGGGCCCGGCTCTTCAGCGGTCCGCCCAGCTCCGCCACGAGATCCTCGGAGCGGGAGGTGCTGGTGGCGCCCGGCCATTTTCTGAGGGTGTTTGAGGTATTTATGTTTGTTTGATGTTTTGTGAGGTTGTTTGAGGCTTTGTGGGTTTGGATCATTTGAGTTTCCATCTAACCAAAGGGGCAAGGCACTTGGTGAAAGTGGTTAGTCAGCCTGGTTATATGGATTGAGATGTTCCTTTTGGTGTTCCTGTACCACAATTAAAAGGTACCATTAAAAAATCCCCCAAAGAACAAAGGGCTTCTTTCTTGGGGTTCGTTTGGCAAGCCAACAGGAAATTTGCAAGTTGGAGCGGGCCCTTACACGAACCCAGTTGAGGCCTATATAGAAGGTTGGTTACAGCACTTTACGTGCATGTGTACATACACTTGAACATATGTTTGGAGTGTATCAAGTTGCACTCTTTGTCCGCCCTTTTTGCTCGCATCACGAACTGTTGCAGGACATTGTGATCGTTGAAACATGTTTCTTGTGTGTGTGTTTGTTATGCTTGCGCTTGTTTGTTTATTTGGTTGCTTGCTTGTTTGTTTGACTATGCTTGATTGCTTGACTGGTTGTTGCCTGCTGCCTTTTTGTTTGCTTGTTTGTCTGTTTGTTTTTTGTTTGCTTGTTTGCTTGTTTGCTTGCTTGTTTGTTTGTTTGCCTGTCGGTGTGACATATACCTTCCGACCCGAGTTTCGGGTGCATTGATGGCAATGCATGGCTGCCCATGCAGTTGATGATTGTGCCGCGAAATGTACAATGTTGAACAGCCATACTGCTGGCTTGCTGTACTTGTTTTGATGCAGGCATACCCGGGTTTTCCAGAGCGGCGTAGTGGTTTGGTGCCAAGCAATTGCCCGCGAACCGCTTCTCGCAGGGATTCTAAGCAATCCACAGAGATCTAAGACTCTAAGACACAAACCAATACTTTACAGCAAACTGACACAGACGCCGGCAGCGATTTGAGGGATCTTTTTCCAGGGACCCGGTTTGAGATACCTCTTTGAGCGGATTTTTTTGTTTTTGTCTTCAGCACTTTTTATTCAGCTCGAGTGACACAAATTCTTGTGCTTGGCGCTAGTAAGGAACGGTCCCTACACGAAGTAGAAGCGGCAGAGAACTCTTTGAGTCTTGCCCTTGTGGTTCCTGAAGTTCCAGGTTGTTATACTCAAGGTTGGTTGAAGCCCTGGTTTCAATGCACACAAGTGGGGTTCCTCTCAGTGGAGGTGATGTTGAAAGAAGGAATTGAGGGAGCCCTGCTTTCGACAGGGTGCTGGCCTGCATCACAGTTTTCTCCCATCGGTGCAGTTGGGGGGAAAGCAAGTGACTTCCAAAAGAGCATACACAACCTTCCTGTGGACTCCCTCTCTTACCCACAGGGTGCCACGCCACCCATGAAGAATTTGCGAAGTTTATGGGGAACCTCGAAGGTGGACCTGAATCCCCACCATGACATCCAAAGGGTCCAAGACCCATCAAAATTCACACCCAGCTTCCCCTTACACCTTGAGCCCAGGACAAGCCTACCACCTCGGGGAGAACGACATGGTTCTCCTCCTAAAGCCCTCGACAAGGACCATGGAGCTCGCGTCTGCTTAAGAGGGCTGCTCTTGGTTTGCTTTCGGCTTCCTTTGGTTTTCCTCGGTTTTCCCTTGCCAACCAAAAGGGAGTCCCCCAAAAACAATTCAACGCACGGACACACAGACACACACACACACACATACACACACAGAACACGCCCAACTTGCTTAGATTCTGGGGATGAATTGGAATGACCCCGCACTGAAGCATCCAATTGGTGGTTTTTTAAGCGGGTTGCTGTTTTCGTGCCTGTTGGCGCTCTTTGAAAAGACAGCCAGCAAAGTGGTTCTTTAGAACAGCTCATGGCGTCTCTTCACTCTTCGGACCACGGCTCGAAAGGACAGCGAAGCTCCACATGCATGAGCATTGGTCCTTCACCTGCCGCCTCTTGTTCGATGTGAAGCACAGTTTTCTTTTGACATGACTTCGGGGAAGCAAAAAAGGGGGTGCCCCAAAAGGAAAATCATATTCCTCTAGTCATGATGGCTCTTGGGGTGTCAATCTGCAGGCGCGAGCTAAATACGAGCATGCCAAGTTCGATCAACAGTTCATGTCCGCGAAATACGGACCAGAAGCGCTATGCTTTTTTTAAGGCGTTAGCCATCACAGGTATGTGAAGCACTGGGTTCCCTCTGTGGAGACAAACGCAGACAAGAGCTGCTAAAATGCATCTGGAAAACCGGCCTGGCCAAACATATGTTAGAGGAAATCCGATCGGAAACCATCCAATTTGACGGGTTGGGAAAATTGGGGCAATTGAAGCACATGCAAACTAAGGAGCCCACTGACGTGTTCCATAAGTTGAACAAAACAGCGTGCTTCATGCTAGTAGTCATTATTTGAATTGCATGGTGGAGTATCACCTTCGAATCCCGGTGCGCAGTACCGTGTGACGTTTTTGTAGAGGATACCCAGACTCCTGAATGACATGGAACTTGAACACCAGCACTTCGAAAGAAGAATCCCCGAAACGGGTATCCTTGTTTGGGATACCTGCGCTTTGCGCACATCGACCAACAAATCGACACCATCCAGATGTGCTACGCCGAGAAGACGTGCGGCTGGAAATGTAATTACGGATTTTAGATTTAGACCCTTCAAAGATGAACCAATACTAGGTCCCCCAGTAGTGCCCTTTTACCCTTTTGGGGGAGGGTTCCCCCACTAAAATAGACTACAGAAAAAAGTTGGTACCCTTATTCTAACCTCTCTACTGCAAGACCTAGAATAGACACGTTGTTCTTTTCTCCATTTGAATCTTTCCAAGAGTGAGTCTCCGCTGTACGTAGGAGGCTTGAGAGTCGCTGAGGCCGGAAGTGGCTTCCGTTTTTACTGCACCGCCTGGCTTTAGAGGGCGCCGTGCTGGAGAAGGCGAGCGGGGCTGTGAACTTCCGATGCTGATTTGGCTGTGGGTCAAAAGTAGGTACCCAAAATGCAACCCTGGCAAATGGAACCAAGGACTAAAACCTGCGGTACCCCTTAGTGGTCTAATTTTGACCCACCCTCTAAGCGAAAATCCTTTAATTTTCAAGGGTCAAATGGGAAAACCTGGTTTTTGGGCAAGTTTTGGAAAAATAAGGGGTTTCCAGGGAAAACCCCGGTATTTCACTTACATCCTTTATTTTGGCACTTTTCGCAAGCGAAATGTCAGATGTTTGAAGAACAGAGCAAAGGTGCCGGATCTCGAGCAGGTGTTGAAAGGAGCCGCCAGGTTTCTTTCACTGCCAAATTGTATATTGGGTTTCTAGATGTTGTTTGGGAATCTCTTGTGGTTTCCTTTTGTACCGCCAAGTGCGCGATAGCCTCCTGCTCCTCAAAAGGCAGGGGTAGACGCGAGGGCGTGGTCAACCAAGCTCAAGAATGAAGCGGGACAACCAACTTGAATGTACAAGTGTGCAGTTCACTACATGACCATCAGTAGCTCTGCGTGATTGACACATCATGCTCAAGCATGGTACTTTGTTTTGTATTTTTCAAACATCAGGCAGTATCCCAAAGTGGCACTTGCATTCGTTACTCGACTCAGCGCACAAGCCAAATGCCAACAAAGCCGGCCTCCGCCTAAGTCGCACCTTCTTCCAGCACCTAACTTTGATTCGATGGGAAGCACAGTCCAAGCCAAACATGTTGCGTAGTACGTGTTTGTGCCCGAAAACCTTCGGATGTTCTACCGCAATGTCATACAAAACCAGTTCGCTGCTCGCGCAATCTAGCTGTGTGCCCGTTTTTCTTTGCTGGAAAGCTTCTGGAAGGGCGAGCGCGTGCGAAAAAAAAAGGAAACCCATAAAAATCCCATACGAATCCCATAAAAATCCCATACAAACCCATATTTTTCCGAAAACCCGGTTTTTCCTAACCCGTACAAAAACCGTACAAATCCCATAAAAATACCGTACAAACCCGTACGCAATTTATGGGATTTTCAGCCTCTGCTCAAGCAGCTTTCCAGGCCCGAGCTGCCCAAAATAAGCTTGCAAGGTGACCTTGCGAAAAGCGGTCATTCATGTGTTCGTCCCGCGCGTCTTTAATTACCTGCTGTCCTAGTGTTCAAAGTGGGTTAGGTTCTTTTGGCTCGCTCCAAATGATGTTCCTGCGACGTTTTAGACAAGCCTGCGAGAAGCTCCGGGATCAATGCTTTAGCACGGGACTTGGTTGTCAAACAAGTGAGCATTTGCAAGACGGCCCTCCAGACGTATCCGACGCGAGCTTTACGCAAACAGTCCCAAGCAGATTGCTCAGTGCCATACACACTATGTATACACGTGCAGCTACCGCTTGCGGTAAACTGGGACTACTTGTTGCCCTTGTCAGAAAGTTCATATTTCAATGCTGCTTTAAATTTCCCGAGCCACGATCTGGGAAGCCTTCCCAACAAATTGCGGATTGACCATTGTTTCGAGTTCAGCAGGTGATTAGCAACAGGTGCCATGCTCAATGAGCTTGCATGGATGGGATTGCTAGGCGGCCGTGGAGCGTTTGACTGGATGTAAGAGAGCCAACAAAAGGATTATATTGAGGGAACCACAATCATAACTCACGCAAGACCATTCTGATTACAACGCAAAAAGTAAAAACCCGGTATTTCCTGGAAAAACCGGATATTTTGCCATACCTTTAAAATAAACGGATATTTGCTTAGAGGGCATACCCATTTGAAGATGAACCCGCTGCGAAAAAGCCTGGCGTTGTCGCTCGTCTCTAGATTGAAACACCTGGCGATGCCAAGGTTGCCAACAGCAGTTTTAGACATGTTCATGAGAGAATGCCGGGGGCGTATTGATAAACCCTGCACTGCTTAGTGTTTTTGCCATTGGTGGACCACAGTTGTGCAGTTATGGAAACATGGTGGAGCCTGCACACCTGAACGCTGTTGGTGGCAGTTCCAGCCTTCGACAGTCTTGAACAAAACACTCGGCGAGACTCAAACAAGTATTTACTGAAGCCCTTCGACTCTGCTTAAATTCAGACTTGTGAGAGTTTGTACTGGCGCTCACATGAAGCAGTGTGACTTTTCCGTGGGAACCGAGCGTGTGGTGCTGCCAACGTGCGACGGCGTCATTACTACCAGCCATGGAACATGTGCCCTGTATTCATGGGCTGGTTTGTCATGTACCAGGCTGGGACAAGCAACCGGGTAAGGAATGGCCATGTCCAACCCGCCTTCCACAGTATTGACGGGCCAGGGGCTGGCTGATCTCAGCACGTCACCAGCCATGCTTGAGGTCCCTTTTGTGTGTTTTGCATCGCAAATTGGGTATGGGCCATGGGTCAAAAATTCGATTACCAGGGGACCGCAGGTTTTAGTCCATGTTTCCGTTGACCAGGGTTCCTTTTTTTGATTGTAGCGGAAAGTTGGCACAGCTCGCGGTGCACACCTGCTGAAGTCGTGGCTTTCAGCAGTAGATGAGGAAGATAGCTGTAAGACCACGTGAGCCCCAAGAGGACATCGGAAAACCGGGTGGGCCTGCATCACTTTGAAGCAGGGCTACTCGCCCCGGGTCGATTGACGTGAGGCGGTGAGGCTAGCCGCCACCGGGTGGGCCCTCTGGTTTTTGTGGTAAATGGAGGTGGCCCACCCCTTGTCGTCCCCAAGTTACAATAGACAGTCATTTCGTCGGTTGCTCTGCTGGATAATTAGCCAAAGAACACTTTTGTTCTATCCCTACAAGATAAGCCTAGCTGTTAGAAAAGAACAAACAAACAAAACAACCAAAAACCACATATGGGTGTGGTTCAAAATTAAACCATCAGCGGACCACAGGTTTTGGTCCATGTTAGTTCCATTTTGTTTTTGACCCGCAGCCATATCTCTAACAGCAAGCCCCAGGACCCTTCCGCTTCAGAACCTCTTCAACCCTGCCAGGACGTGGAGACCTGTTTCTCCTTGGAGGACAGCTGTGGCAAGGGAGGGCATCCCGGCTGGACATCCACGCCCCCGCTGATGGATGAAACACCGTGGATGGACGAAATCCATTTCGCACCACCTAGGAAACTATGGGAAACCGGGGGCTGGTGGGCTGGGGACTGGGGTCCCTACTGTGGGTGGACAAAATATTGCACCACTTTTTTCCCATGGTTTGTTGGTATTTCCAGGGGAAGCATCATTCCAGGGTTTCTTAAATGGTGCGATATGGATTTCGTTTAGCCACAGTATGAATGGGATACACCAGGCGCACGGCCATGTTTTTAATTGCCAGTGCGGTGGCCGGCAGCAGCACTTTGAAGAACCGTCCGCGTTTACCATTGCTTGGTGGGATTGCGATCATGGTGAAAAAGACAGGAAGGGCTGTTTGAAGCAAAAGGATGACATCTTTGCCACTTTGGCCACTCTCTGTTCCCGCCTCCGTTCTTCCGCCGGCCCTCGCCTGAAGGTAAGGTCTCTCAGAAAAATGTGAACATCATGTTGGTGCCATGGCAGAATGATAGTACTATGGCATGTGGGTATGGTAGCTATGGGGCTGCAGTGCCTCCGCATGTCTGTTTTGCTGCAACTGTATAAAGAAGTGTTGCGTTGCCGGCATGCCCTTCCACCAACTGAAATGGAAGCTGCCCAATTCAGCAAGGCGTATTGCCAAGACCGTATCGTAGTATCAAATTCAAACAGCCCCTTCTGCGATGCTAAAAGCAAAGCGTCAACCTGGACTGGCCCATGACCCCAAACACAAGCCGCTGGGGTCCTTGTTTGGGTGTTCTGCTGCTTGTAGCGAACAGCAATCCAGACGTGTTAAATGTCGGCGCCTGAACGGGCAGCATTTTCTATCTGACCTGGCTCCCAGCTCTGGCTGCGGGGTGGTGCGAGCACTAAAAAGAGCACCGCATGCTGTTGGGGATATCACATGAGCTTATTTGACGTGAACAGCCGGCAAGAGGCTCATGCCCTGCTAGCCTGCAAACGGTGGACGGAAGAGACATGTTGCTTGGGTGCAGCATGTTTCACTTGTTGCAACACACCTATAGCAACGCACATAGCAACGCACCTATGGCAACGCACCATGTTGCAGGCGTGCGAGTTTGATTTTATTTGTGGGGCGTGCCGCTTAAGTAGCTAGTTTCGCCATATCTGAAAGCACATCTAGTTCTGCTCTACCGGATTTACTGCCGGATATGCACACCACATGCCGACTAATTCAGCCTCAACGGGCAGTACCCGGCGCTTCTACCTTCGTCTCACCTGGCATGAGGTATGGCACCATCCGCCGAGCCTCGCCGGTAGCTACGGAGTACTACAGCCCCAGCCAGGCGCGGGTTCCGGGGGCTCAGCACCAGGGGCGCGCTGTGTTAGTTGCCCTCAAATCGAAAGTAACGCGGTGTGTTGAAAATGTACACGCGGGCGAGGATGCTTGTGGAAGCGTTTGCGGCAGGGATGTCTCTTACTACTGAAGTTTCCTTTTTGTGGGCAGAACTTGTGAAACATTTGCCGCGGAGGGACGCGGAAGCAAACTACCAAAAACGTGTACCGCGGAAGTCCGCGGATGGAACCCTGCTGGCTCGCGGTGAATATGCGAAAGGATCCGCGGAAGCTTGAGTAATGTCCAATCAAGCTTGAGAGTTACAAGCGCCGCTGAGGTGAAAATCATTGTATGACTGTTTTAGGAAGAGTATGCAGTGTACCTGGCCCTAAAGGTGAAGAAGGTGCTTAGCGCTAGCTGTTTTTGACCTATGTCCATAAGTCAGCTGCCATGTGGATGTTTGTGCCTCAACGTTTGTGGATGGATGGCCTTGTCCCCTTCAAATGGCTGCAGGTATGATGGATACTCTCTCCGAACTGCCAGGGGGTGCCTTTATAAGGAGAATTGTCCAAGCCTGCCAGGTTTCGTGTTAATTGGTGGGAGAGTAATATACATTATGTTCCCAGAGCCGCAATCATACACTAGCAAATTAGAATTAGTCAACAATTGCTGAATCTATGTCTAATCGCGCAAATGTCCAACCAACCCCAACTCCAGTCTTTTCAGGGCACATGTTAGAACCAATACTAAACCAATACCAAACAGACACTAAGCAATTGGAAGCCAGCGCAAATCCAAAAAGTGACTAAGATTTCTGCTGTTTGAATTCCTTACTCGGAAGTTGCCATTTGGAACAATTGTTGCGCCCGAAGAAGGGCAACAATGTACCCTATGGCCTCCGGGCGCATGTACTCTTTTAGGGGGGAGGGCGGGGAGGGGGGGCTGTGTTGTTGATTACCGGGAAGCGATAGTATGCTATCTAGGCATCACTCTAGCCGCATAGATGAGCTATTTTACATCCCTGCAACCAAGTTCGTTGTTTTTTTTGGGGGGGTGCCGCGTGAAAAACCACAGCGCATGGTTCCACGTGGCATTGACTTTTCGCGAGTGGACTAGTACAGAGTTGCGGGCCCGATGATTTATGCAGCTGTCGGACAGGTGGCAGTCAAAGTGGCTGCGGAGCGCGATGTGCGCGGCTTTGGCAGCAGTGTAACCGGAATTTGGAACACTGTGTGTTCAACAGTGATGTCACCTCGAACATGCTGACGAGCTATGGGGTAAGACATCAGTGGCATGCGCAAGAACACAAGAGAGGAAGAACACAAGCTTTTCTATTTACTGGTGTGTCTATTTGTTTGCCCTTGTTTTTCGTCCTTGTTTCGTGTTTGTCCGTTCTTGTGGTGGTTTTTGTTCTTTGCGTGTCATCATTACAACCAAGTGTGAACATCCAAGTTGAAACCAATCTCCGGAGCCTTGTCTCCTGAAAAAAAAAGCAAGTCGTTGAGCTTGCTGGCGCTCAGTATAGGGAATGAGGGAATGACCCGTTTTGGGATTTGTAGGTAAAGGAGGCCACCGGTTGGAGGTGTTTTTGCCTGGGCTCAGTCCATTGCATCTCCCGCAGCAAAAAATATCCACCCCGACTCTGAGGCCACGAGCTCCGGATGCTCACGGCGGCAGGGAGGCACCCCAGCGTGATCCAGCACCACGGGGTCTTCAAGGGCCACTCAGGCCGGCTGCTTCTCTCCAAAGCTGGTTTGGGTCGTGGGGCGGGGGGAGGCTGTGGGCGGCCAAGCCTAAAAACCAACAGCCGAAAAGGAGGAGGTTACAACAGAGACACGTTCAGTGTCCACCATCGGGGAAAAGGGGGGGGGACTACTCCCCAGGAGGTTCTTTAGCAGGTTGGTTTGAAGAAAAAACGAAAAGGATTGGGGTCTCCGCAGTTTGACACATATCTGGACTTTCAGACATGTTGCCTCGTTTTAAATGTTTAAATGGAAGGTACAGGGAACCGTGCAATGGGTTTAGGGTTGGCCTCGAACGGAAATCCCTAAACCCTAAACCAAGCTGACCAACCCTAAGTGTAAATCATTGAGTGGTTGATGACCATCCCTACCAACCCTGCTAGGTAAAAGGGTGAACATGGCATGATGATTGATCAATTCCAAATTCTCGAATCCGCAAGTATGCCGCATTTGGTCCCTCCGAGGGACTTGTTCAACCGAGACTTCTCTCCTAGTTTGGCTCAAAAGGCGCGGGATCGAAAGGACACTCCTCGGCTGGAGACCGCCGTGACCACGCCCCAAACGCCTTGAACCCACAGGTTCTTATACATGAATCTGGGTTTCTGTGCCTTTGGGTGTAAACATTGAAGCATAGTTACAGTTCACTTTGATTGGGGTATCGTTCTCGATGGCGAGCGGGCACTGCCTATGTGTGGCAAGGTTCCACACAAATACATATGCCCACAGCTATTTGCTAGTCGTTCCGCCTGGGTGGGGGGACGGGGCGGGGAAGATCTTCGGATCTTTTTTCCAGCCAAAGCTCAAGGTGATCTTAGCAGCACGATTGAAAAGCCGGGTTGTGCTTCTCCTCCGACTTGTGGAAACAACAAGTTTGTGGCACTGGCCTTGGTTTTGTTTCGGGCTGGAAGTAATTAGGATGCATGCGATGTTGTTCCGGTGACTGAAAGTGAATCAAGTAATAGACTGTAAGCTACGTAGCAGGTCCTAGCCTGTCGGATAGGTTTATAGGCATGCTAGCTTAGTGAATTCATTGCTCGCAGATCAAAGACGGACATGGCCCAACACCATTTCGAAGAACCGTCTTTTTGACTGAGATCGGCACCTGTTTTCCTTAAGTTGTTTGTTCTTCTCGGCCTCCAAACGTACTCCCACCGACGAAGACATGTCCTTCATGGTGTGTAAATCAATCGTCCAGGTGCCAGATGTGCTTGCGGGATTCAGAATGTGTGTGGGGTTGTCAGAATATGGGCCCCATGTGGAACCCTGGTTGCTGCCTCCGAAAGAGATTCGTTGCTTTGACGACATGTAACCACCCATAGGGTTGGTGGCTGGGGACCACACTTTCCACGAGGATTTCAGAGGATTGGGCCAACCGCTGCGTCACTTTTGGTGAAGCGAAACCGCGAAAAGCGAAGCGGGGCATCGCCTCTTCGCCCAGCTGGAAATGTTGCTGGGGGTTTAGAAGGACAATGTGGGGCACCCTCTCACCAGGAAAATGATTCTTCAATTCAGAGTCCATAATGTTAACCCCGGATTAATAAACCCCTGGTTGATTAATAAGGGGTGTCCCCTTTTAGTGGGGATTCATCACTTTTGGAGGGAACACCCCCTAATAGTGGGACGGGTTTATTAATCCGGGGTCAACATTAGGGTGTAAGCTTTGGCATAGAGTTTGCCTACATTGAAATTTGGTGACAGGAGGTTTGGTTAAACAAGGGTGGACTTTTCCCATGTTCTCTATGAAACACGTTGGTTGAAACCATGGCATCAACGGGTTGAGTCGCGCTCGTTTCGGCAGGGCGCCACTGGTGCCTTGTTCTGGAGTTCTATCCCCAGGGCGATCTCTGGCACTACTGCTCCGCCCTTCGGCAGGAAAGCCTCGAAAAGGATCAAACCCGGGTGCCAACATTAGAACATTGGGTTGCTGCAAGTTTCGCATTGTTTGGAGCAGTACTGAAGGGTAACTGGTTGTTTCGGCATGGGAACGGGCCGCCGAAAGGCTGTACCTTGCTCAACTCAAGCCGGACGAAAAGTGTTTGTCCATCAAGCAGGTTCGACACAAATCACCCGGAGTCTGGGAGTGCCAAAAGCATGCAAGAAGTCAGCGCCCAGATGCTTTTCAGCTTGCCTGCCTGATGTTTTCCCGTCCCCAAACTCATCAGCCTTGGCCCACCGCATACAAGTGTTTAGCAATGTATGTGTGTCATAAACCCCTGGACACAAAGCAACACACAAGCACACCAATACAATCAGAAGGACTAATCTTCTAATGGATAAGTAAGGCGTCATTGTCCGCGGATGTTTGCATCTGGAGCCACATGTCAATGGTGGTCCGAGTCCACCCTGTTCCGCATTATTTGGGTATGTTGTGTTGTGTTGTTTGTGCTTTGCAGTTTTTTTTTTTGGAAGACCAAGTTCTGAAACGTTATTATGTGGCAGAGACCAAGTTGTGGAGGAAACTCGTTTAGTTTGTGCAGCTGAGGATTGCTTGTCAATTCCCACAGCTTTGTCCCTCTTGCACAACTTGTTGTTGGTCTGGCCCTCAGACATCGCCGGGAGCGCTGCTGTTGGGTGTCGCTTGCTACTTGCCTGTGTTTGTCGTGCACTCGTCAAGTTTGCGTCATGGTTTGTTTTGTTTTGGTTTTGTTTTTTTTGGTTTGCATTGGTGAGTGTGTCTGTGTGTGTCTGTGTCTGTGTCTGTGTCTGTGTCTGTGTCTGTGTCTGTGTCTGTGTCTGTGTCTGTGTCTGTGTCTGTGTCTGTGTCTGTGTCTGTGTCTGTGTCTGTGTCTGTGTCTGTGTCTGTGTCCGTGTCTGTGTCTGTGTCTGTGTCTGTGTCTGTGTCTGTGTCTGTGTCTGTGTCTGTGTGTGTCTGTGAGTGAGTGTTTGTGTGCATATGCGCGTGTGTGTGTTTGTGCATCTCTGTATTTCTGTGCATGTGCGTGTTTGTGTGTTTGTTTGTTTGTATGTCCGGTTTGTTTTTGTGTGCGTGCGTGTGTGTGTGTGTGTGCACTTGTCAATTTTGAATTGTGTTGCTTGCATCTGGGTCAGTTCATTTCAGTCACACTTCAACCGCCAAGACCATATCAGGGAAAACTAAACAATGGTGTTGCAACAGCACTGGTTTCACAATGCATGCCTGGTGACGCGCATGCCTTCACAAGGCTCACTCCATCAAAGATACCATTTGGCCATGAATTCAAGCACCAACCACAAATCACCATTGTTTGGGAAGTGCTCAGGTGGATTGCATAAGAGCCGTTGTTTAACACACCAACCGGAAGACGTGAGGGATTCAGCTGCCTCAACATGTTTGATATACTAGCAAACAGCAGCAACAGCAGCAGCAGCAGCAGCAGCAGCAGCAGCAGCAGCAGCAGCAGCAGCAGCAGCAGCAGCAGCTTGGTTTTGTGTTTGGGATGCTGAACAGCGTGATTTGTCACCATTCACCTCAATTTGAACACATGACTATATTTTTTATTGGTTGGATCACCTTCGAGCATTCAAGCATTGTTGGGAAAGGACACACATCACCATGTAAGGTCCCCCAGAGAAGGGGGCGCAATTAAAACCCATTCGACATAAACAGTCAAGTTGCACTTCAGCCTCAAGAGTTTGGCGGTTGATTGTCACAGATATATTGTCACAAATCCAACCGCTTCGTAAATGTATCTTCGTATCTTTGGGCTGCGACACACCTTCAGCTAATTACTCTCTGGGAGTATACGGCCAGCGCTCAAACACGCCGTGCCGGCGTTTTGTTTAAATGATAGTGAGCATGTTGCAGGTCTTAGCACGCTAACATTTTCAATGTCGGCCCTGCGCAACATCGGGCAGCAGCAAGTCAGGCGGCTGGACCTATTTCTGGGATGTCCTCCAAGACTGCTATACGTCTCAGGGAAAACAAATGGAACAGAGTCAGAACAGTGTTGCTTGCAGTCTCGGGGCCAAGGTTAGTGAGAGATTGGTGCAGGAAGGGGGACCATGGGCAAATGGCTCAGAGCAAAGCAGAACCCGCGAAGACCTGGCTGCGCTTGACCTGATAGAGACCGCCTCAAAAGCGGGTGGACGTGAATCCTAAATGATGTGCAACAACAGGTCCTTCACTAAAATTCACACCCACCTGAGCGGATGATTTGCTCGGGGACTCCATGAGTGTGCCAGGGCTTGCAGCATATCCACAGCAAAGGAGTCTTTCACCGCGATGCCGCTTGGCGAGCTGTGGGAATCGCGGGTGGGTTTTCTTTTGGGTTTCCCCAAGAAACCAACTTGGCAAGTGTGGGCAACATTTCATGAGAATTCATCTTCTTTTGGGATCCAGCGTAAATGGTCGACCTCAGGTCCCAAAAGAAGCCTGATTCTCGACCATGCCACAGTGCAATCATGGGGTAAGGCTGGGCAGTCAACCTTGCCATGCAGAAAGCTCCCCTTGTCACTCTCTACTGTGACCACTCAGGTCGTGAATTTGGATGGATAACATCCGAAGGGATGGTGGGTGAACACAAGTCTCCATGTAACGTATTTACACCCAGCATTCCAGACAATTAAGTAATTCTATCAGACTCGTTCCCAGGCAACATTTTCCAACAGATACCCACTTTTGACAAGGGCCCTTTCTGGTGTTGTTTTAAAGGCAAACCAAAGCACACCCATGTGGGGGATTTCCCCAATTCAGGGGGAGCACACCCAAGCAAGATCGAGGCCACTAGAAGAAAGGTGGAACCAATCCCTTTTCACCAACCTTAGAAAGGGTTGAAAGGGGTTTCAATGGCCCCAAACAAGCATTCGACCGACCCGGCAGAGTTCCAACATCTCCAGCAGTGTATTCGTATTTTTCGAGTCGCCTTCAACACCCGAGACTTGTTTTGGAGTGCACAGAAACGCTCAACGAGTGTTAGCATATTTTCGCGACCGCCAAAAAACGCGTTTTCAACGGAGGGTGTCCAGCGACCCCAATGATTTCCCCTCCAAACCCACAGGTTTCTTTGGTGCAAAGCGTCGGACCGTGAGAGCTTCGGAGCCTCCCCCTAAGCTCGTGAGGTGAAGCCGGAAAATATTTTGGTCACCGACGAGCGCGCGGTGCTCTGCGACTTCGGGGTCGCTGAGACCACCGAGGGCCAGAGGCAAACCGCCAGGCGCGAGCCTGCGAGTGACTCGTTGAGGCAACCCGCGGGTTGGAGTCCGCGGGTTTCCATAGGGGTGTCTCTTCTTGAGGGTAGCCTAAAACCATTGGAAAGCCACCATGGCAACTTCTAAGAGACGCCCAGAGCATGGGTCTTGAGAAAAGAGCCGCTTTTGGGATCTGAAAGAGAAAGAAAGCACCAGTTGGATGGTTCAACTTGGGGTTTGTGCCTTCATTAGCCTAGTGAGAAACAAAGAGGACAAAACTTTGGATGGTGCAGTCCCCGGCGATTTCCGGTGGAGTGTGTGTGTGTGTGTGTGGTTGTGTGGTCCGATTGTTGTTTGTGTGCGTGCGTGCGTGCGTGCGTGCGTGCGTGCGTGCGTGCGTGCGTGCGTGCGTGCGTGCGTGCGTGCGTGCGTGCGTGCGTGCGTGCGTGCGTGCGTGCGTGCGTGCGTGCGTGCGTGCGTGCGTGCGTGCGTGCGTGCGTGCGTGCGTGCGTGCGTGCGTGCGTGCGTGCGTGCGTGCGTGCGTGCGTGCGTGCGTGCGTGCGTGCGTGCGTGCGTGCGTGCGTGCGTGCGTGCGTGCGTGCGTGCGTGCGTGCGTGCGTGCGTGCGTGCGTGCGTGCGTGCGTGCGTGCGTGCGCGTGCGTGCGTGCGTGTGTGTGTGTGTGTGTGTGTGTGTGTGTGTGTGTGTGTGTGTGTGTGTGTGTGTGTGTGTGTGTGTGTGTGTGTGTGTGTGTGTGTGTTTGTGTGTGTGTGTGTGTTTGTGTTTGTGTGCGTGTTGTTCTTTGTTGTTTCTTCTTCTTTTTTGTATCTGAGTTGATTTTTTTGTGTTTTTGTTGCTTATTGTATTCATTTTGTTCTTTGTTTGTGTTAGTTTGTTTGTTTGCTTGCTTGTTTGTTTGCTTGTTTGCTTGCTTGCTTGTTTGTGGTGTTCATTTGCTTGTTTGTTTGCTTGCTTGCTTCTTGCTTTGCTTTGCTTGCATGCTTGCTTTGCATGCTTGCTTTGCTTGCTTGCTTGCTTGCTTGCTTGCTTGCTTGCTTGCTTGCTTGCTTGCTTGCTTGCTTGCTTGCTTGCTTGCTTGCTTGTGAGTTGTGTTTGCTTGTTTATTTTGTTCTTTCTTTCTTTGTTTTTCTTTCTTTCTTTCTTTCTTTCTTTCTTTCTTTCTTTCTTTCTGTCTTTCTTTCTTTCTTTCTTTCTTTCCTCTTCGTTTGTTTGCTTGTTTGATTGATTGATTGATTCATTAATTAATTGATTTGTTGTTTGTTTGTTTGTGTTTGTATTCCCTGTTGTTGTTTTCCTGGATTTATTTGGTTCTGGTTGGTTTCTTTGATTCGTAATTTTGTGTTTCACTTGTTTTGCGATTGTTCACTTTTTCGCTGGTTGATGCACTGCCGATCCTGTCTGGACTCAAGACTCCGATCTGACGCCACATCCCGTGATTTCCAGGTTTGTTGAATCGCTCCGGCCATGTCCAAGAAGCTCTTGGATTTGTTATCTCATTTTATTAATGTATTTCATGATTTTTTTTGATTTTGATTATTAATTTGATCCGGAGTTGCAGAAATAGCCAGGTTTTCTGAATGGCAAGGCTTCCGGTCGCACGTTGCTGCATTTTGGCCGGACATGTTGGTGACATATTTGTTGGCTTCACCCCTCTTTGCTCGCGTCACAGCTCATTCAGGCATGAGCGCATCCCTGGGAACTGCAGGTGAGCTTTGCAGGTCAAGGGAGGTCAACCCGGTTGCTCGGAAGGACAGAACCCCACCACACAGGCAGGTCTTGGTTCTGATGTTTCAATTACCCGCAAAAAACTTTAGAGTGTCGGCAAATGTTGGGCTGAAGGCTCGAGCCTTAAGCGCTGGGTTTTGTTTACTGGGCGTGGTAGCGTTTGCCATCCCGGAATTGGAGGTGGGGCTTGACTCGAAAGGCTGTGTTGGCTAAGAAGCTTCCTGGCTTCCGTGCTTGGCCGCAACGCCACATGTGCCCTGATTGTTTGGGCTGAAAGCATGGATACATGCTTTCCAACCCTGACAGTGGTCAGGCCAAAAACATGCAAAGCGGAGATTACAGAAGCTTGGACGATATAGAATGTTTCCTTTTTGAGGGTCCCATTGTGAAGGGAATCATTTGTGTTTGTGAAATGCAATCTTGGACAAGACTGAGTGGCCCCTGCATTTCGCAGGGGGCTCACGCCGCAGTATGCCTCGCCAGAGATGATATCTGGGAACTCCATGAACCCCACGGGCTCCTTGGATTCTGTCGCTTTGGGTCCGGTTGATTGAATCTAGGATATCTAGTGTGAGTTGGGGCTGAGTTTGATCAGATTGGTAAAGCCTAGATGGCATTGGCAATGGTCCTTAGTTTTGGATCCATCCAATTGATGGCGGTGCTGCCGAGAAAGCGGTGGACATGATTGGAACCGCAGTCGTTGAGGGGCGGAAGTGCGGAAGGGTTTGCCTCGCGGAATGACTGAGGGGTCCGGGAAGACCATGCTCCTTGGACCCTCTGTCAGGTTCCATGTTCATCGGTGGGAGGGTATTATAAGTTGCAACAGAAGTAGCTAATGAACAACACTCTGGCCGCGGCAGCAAAACCAACACGGAAGCCCGCGGAAGCAATTTTAGCAAACCATAGAAGCTTGCCGAAGGGTTCGCGGAAGGTTGAATGCTGTCATACTGATAACAATAACACCTTAAATTGTCAATTGAAGGGGAGATTCCGCCAATGTATCACCCTCAAGTTGGGGCTGGCTGCTTCAGAGTTGTCCTGGGGGGGAGCCTTGTCTCGACTGGTGTAAAGGACCCAGGGTTATCATTGTTCGTCGATCTTGTATCACCGGACACCACGGTGGGTCCTTCAAACAGGCAATTCCATACGCGACCCCTGTGCGTCCCCAAATATGTTTTTAGACGAGGATGCTTTGTAGCATTGTTTCTCCGCCATTGGATTCTTTGAACATTCCATACTGGCCCCTGAATATGTAACTCTAAACAAGAGATGGGTGCACTTTTTTCAGCGTACCAAGTGTGCTATCTACCGAGCTATCAACACTCACCATGTTCAACTTGCTGATTCTCCGCAGGGAATGAGGGGACACACCCCATAAACCATCCAACTGGTGGTTTCCTTCATTCGGGAATCCCCTTCAACGGTTCATTCCAACACCCGGACTCGTTGTCAATCCCTGCCTCTCGCGCCAGCAGTCAAGTCTCACCCTCGTTTGGGGGTTGATGAAAAGGTCCTTTACATGGGGTGACCCAACCGCCCAACAGATGACAATCAACCACAAAACGGGCAAAGGCACCCACGGGTGATTCTGGGGCCGAAGGGAATACTGATCAACGCCCATGCAAAGAAAAAAAGTAATATATATATATATATATGGCAGTGAAATTTTTTGAGGGGTCTGTAACAGAGCCGCGGCGGACATTCGTTACAGACCTCGTTACAGACCTCTGTAACAAAACCAGCTGGCTTGTTACACACCCCTCGTTACACACCCTCGTTACACGCCCTCGTTCCACCTCAGATGAGCAAACCGGGCCAGTGACGTGACTGCCCTCCTTTTGCCGCAGCTTGGCTTGCGTTGAATAGCTGCAATCAAGTGCTTTGCTTTGCCTTGTTCAGACCTCGTTTCATAGCCGTTACATACCTCGTTGCAGCCAACCCCAGCCCGGGCCAGCGACCCCGCTTTTTGCCGCAGCTTGGCTTGCGTTGAATAGAGCTGCGGAGGCTGCTTTGCGTACTGCGCTCGTTACAGACCTCGTTACATAGCTGTTACATACCTCGTTGCAGACCCAACCCCCAGCCCGGGCCAGCGACCCCGCTTGTTGCCGCAGCTTGGCTTGCCTTGAGTAGCTGCAATCAAGCTGGAGCTGCGGAGGCGCGCTTTGCGTCCTGCGCTTTGCTTTGCCTCGTTACAGACCTCGTTACATAGCCATTACATACCTCGTTGTGCTGCGCTACATCGTGCTACTGATGCTTCTTGTCAGGAAATGTTTGTCCCGTTACAGACCTGCGTAACAAGGACCTCCGTTACAGACCTCCGTATAACAAGATTCGTGGCGCGTCGCGCGTTACAGACCCCTAAAAAAAATCATAGCCATATAACGGAAGCAAAACAATCAAGAAAAAATGAAAGCGGATGGAAGCGGATGGAAATTCCGAGGAGACGTCTACGCGGCAGGGGCCACCTTCCACTTCATGGCCGGGGGTCTGAATTCGACGGGGGGGGGCGGGGGCGGGGGGGTCAAGGTTCGACCGGGGGGGGGGGGCTCATTTGTTTGTCACTTGTATTTGCATTTACTGTTTTATCAAGTTTCAACTGATGTAAGTCTTGGGCTTTTGTCTTCTAAAGAGAGAGACCTCAAAGCGACC